GTTGGTTCCTATTTATTCATAAAGATTTATTTTAGTTGCTTATATGATTAATTGAACTTTGTACTTACTTGTTTATAATATTCAACTTCTTCCAAAAACTCTTTAATGGAATTTTCATAAAATTCACTTTTAGAAATTATATTGTCTGAATCAATAGACTCTGTATAATTGTTGTAAAAAGACATTTTAATGTCATTTTAACACTAGAAGTGCACTAATGAAAGTCGTTTTAATAATAATGGAATGTTTAATCGACACAGTAGTCATTGTTGGAACGATAAAAATCCATTTTGGACACTGCAGACACATTTTCAAGTGAGGTGGTCAATGTGTGGTAGGGTTGTTAAATAAAAGATTAATTGGTCCATACTTTTATAATGGTTCCTTAACAAGTGAACGCTACTTGAAATTTTTAACTGATGTTTTGCCTTTGTTATTGGAGGATGTACCACTTGATATCAGACAAAAAATGTGGAAAGAACAAGATTGTGCACCTCCACACAATGTTAATGTTGTTAAAAAATATTTGGACGAACATTATAACAATAGATGGATAGGCACAAATGGTCCTCTTCAATGGCCACCGAGATTACTTGATTATTTTTAGGGAGTTTTTTAAAAGATAAAGTGTATTCTCAGCCATTAACGCCCCTTGAAAATTTAAAAGAAAGAATTCTGTAGTCGTACAGTGAAATTAATCTAGAAATGATACAGTCTGTCACAGTTGGTATGATAAATAGGCTAGAAAAATTAATTTTAAATAATGGTGCACATTTTGAAAACTTTTTGTAAAAAAAACTAATATCTTTTTCAACTCTTATATTTCTTTAACAAATTTAATTTAAAATTATTATGTTAATTAACATTCTTAAATTTTAAATAAATTTAATCTAACTGAAAACAATGATTTTTGCTTAATTTTCGATAATACTTATTGTACAGAACGAATTATATGATTACACAGTGTAATTACACTTGATGTATCAAAATATTATTATCAATAACTCTCTCTTTGATAATAATATTCATGTCATCTATAAGAATCGGTGTTTTGGATGTTTATAATAAATTTGAAAAATAATATTAATATATACTGAGAGGTGACGACTTGAGCTACACAACGGATTGTGGAGTCGCCAATCTCATGGCTCCCTCGCAAAAGGAAAGTCGGGTCGCCAACCACTTAGGCGAAGGTCTCGATTCTAAAAAAGAAACAACACCCGGACCATAAGTGGATTTAAAAAAAAATTAAACAAGAAGTAAACCAAATAATATTAAATGAAATAATGTGCACTATGATGAAACGAAGTGGATCGTTGAATATAATATACATATATATATATATATATATACTAAAATATAAAGTGTTGTTGTGGACTATAATATGCTGATACCTTGTAAATAAAACAAAATATGTTTTGTTTGATGTCACTAGTGGTGGACATACTTTAGTATGTCGAAGACTGTTACCTTAAAACTAGGGTGAATTATTAAAGGTAAAAAAAAAATAAGATGCAAGTGAATATTGAAGATATTCATGCAATAAAAAGATTTTTGTTTATTAAGATTATTAAGGGAACTTTATTAGATTATAACTGTAAGGATAAGGATTTAAATCGTGTCAAAGAACCTACCCAAACATAGGCGACAAGAGAAAAGCCGATCGACCAGTTGATTCTAAATTTTTTGTTTGAAGAGGCGTGTACAGGTAGTGAAAGGAAAGGGAGGACTAGAAACAAATAAGCTGAAAAAATAATTAGTTCAAAGTACCATGCAAGTAAAGCTAAACATTTTTCACATTGTGATCTACTAAATAACGTTAGTGCGATGACTACCTCATNATATGTTTTGTTTGATGTCACTAGTGGTGGACATACTTTAGTATGTCGAAGACTGTTACCTTAAAACTAGGGTGAATTATTAAAGGTAAAAAAAAAAATAAGATGCATGTAAATATTGAAGATATTCATGCAATAAAAAGATTTTTGTTTATTAAGATTATTAAGGGAACTTTATTAAATTATAACTGTAAGGATAAGGATTTAAATCGTGTCAAAGAACCTACCCAAACATAGGCGACAAGAGAAAAGCCGATCGACCAGTTGATTCTAAATTTTTTGTTTGAAGAGGCGTGTACAGGTAGTGAAAGGAAAGGGAGGACTAGAAACAAATAAGCTGAAAAAATAATTAGTTCAAAGTACCATGCAAGTAAAGCTAAAAATTTTTCACATTGTGATCTACTAAATAACGTTAGTGCGATGACTACCTCATCTTCAACCAAATGTTCAATTGTTCAATTCAAACTAATAGACAAAACTTCCTAAATTTAAGAAAAGGAGAAAATAATTTATCTTAACATCACAGTGATCAAGTGGTCGATTAAATTTAAATGTAACAATAAATGAATAAGAAAATAATTAACTGAACAATATGACAGTCGACTAAGACACAATATTGAGGCTAGCAGCTCAATTATTTAAGTATTTTGCAATCAAATGGACTTATGACTAGATTTGCTGTGTAAAAAGCAACATGAGTGATTGTACAATTATGTGTGACGACAATGAGCAAATATTAAGTTCAAAAACCACAACACTATTATAAAGTAAATATTGAGCTACTAAAGAGACAAAATGTAATATTAGATTGAATAAAGTTGTAAATTTTATCCAAACTGAACAAATGTACCAAGTGGTTTGCAAGTTTACAAGTTAAAAGAATGGTCTATTAAGTAAATTTGTTCTTATACAAACAGAAAATTAAGTTATTTCAAGTTAAAATACAAAATGATAACTGAAAATTATAGTTCAATTTAAGCTAATGTGCAAACCACGAGGTGTATAAATAAATTATAATAAGTCAAATTGTTAAAAATTATTACCAAATTAATAATAAGCACAAGCTAGGTGTTGTAATTAAAGGTGCAATGCCGGTTCAAGTATACAAACGAAAAGGAAAACAAAAAGACTGAAATAAACTTCAACTTTACAATATAAAATATTTGTAGAATAAGGTAAACTTAAGACAGTGCTCGAAGACTGCGAGAACAAAAAAAAAAAAAAAACAATGGAAAAACAAACGGTCGTAAAACGACGGACAGCGAGGGAATAATATGTAGGGACGTTGCAATACTACCGATACGAGGAAAGTATCGATAAAAAAGTATTGGTATCGAATCATTTACCGCCATAACGGTTTAAAAGTANAGTTGTAAATTTTATCCAAACTGAACAAATGTACCAAGTGGTTTGCAAGTTTACAAGTTAAAAGAATGGTCTATTAAGTAAATGTGTTCTTATACAAACAGAAAATTAAGTTATTTCAAGTTAAAATACAAAATGATAACTGAAAATTATAGTTCAATTTAAGCTAATGTGCAAACCACGAGGTGTATAAATAAATTATAATAAGTCAAATTGTAAAAAATTATTACCAAATTAATAATAAGCACAAGCTAGGTGTTGTAATTAAAGGTGCAATGCCGGTTCAAGTATACAAACGAAAAGGAAAACAAAAAGACTGAAATAAACTTCAACTTTACAATATAAAATATTTGTAGAATAAGGTAAACTTAAGACAGTGCTCGAAGACTGCGAGAACAAAAAAAAAAAAAAAACAATGGAAAAACAAACGGTCGTAAAACGACGGACAGCGAGGGAATAATATGTAGGGACGTTGCAATACTACCGATACGAGTAAAATATCGATAAAAAAGTATTGGTATCGAATCATTTACCGCCATAACGGTTTAAAAGTCTCGTATCGATCAATCTATTTTGAACCACCGACCACAGTCACAAATCACAATACAATAGATTTCCTAATCAGTGTAATTAAATGCCCGTTTACTGAGAAGGCAAGAAATATCAAACAATCTGTATAGCCANAAGGCAAGAAATATCAAACATTCTGTATAGCCGTATAGGCACAGTCGCACAGACTATATACATATATTTTCATATAGTCTGTGATATAGACACTGTCTATTAGATAGGTACTATGAAATCGGGAACATACACGAATTGTTATTATTAACATTATTAACATTATTAACCTTGTACGTTATTAATTTTCGATTGATTTGCACGTGTGCGATCGCTCCTTCTTTTTTACATTTTTTAAATATTTTGTTTATTATATTATTTTTCAAAAAATTATGTCTCCTCCAAAGAGCAAAGTTTGGATATATTTTAAAAAAATTGACGCTGTTCTTGCATTACGCAAGCATTGTTCACAAGAAGTACGCTATTGTGGCAATACTTCAAATTTATCCAAATTTCACTAATACTATATCATCCATAGTCAATCAGTTAAAATTGACTATCACTCAAAAGTAAGTAACTTATTAAATTGTTTATATATTTTTTATTGAAATTGAATCAGTAATTTCAAAAACAACATGTCAATATTTTATTAATGTAGTTAAAAATACACTATTTAAAACCATAAATAATGAATATTACAAACTCGCAAAATAAATGTATGTATAAGTGAATATACAAACAAATGTAAATTTATGAAGTTATTATTAAGTTATTTATAATTTGTGTAAAATTTCAATTTTATGACTTATGTTGTTTTTAAAATAACTGATTCAATTATACGTAATGTTACTCTATCAAACACTGATGTTTATATATTTTCTGTAGTTATGTATCGCCATTGCATACATTGCTAGAACCTTGCTCATCAAAATCTCAGTCGCGACAACTAACGCTTTGTATGGAAGACTCTGAGTCAGAGGTAATAATTATTAATTATTATATATGTTGTATAATTATATATACAGGGTGTTTGTGAATTTGTATTTATATAATAGGCATCTAATTTTCTGTGGTACGGCAATAACTGGGTATACACATTAAAAATATAAAATAACTGTTATCATCGGACTGGTTTATCGATACTTTGATAAGCGATGAATACATAACCATTTTTACAAAATTAAATTATCACATAATTATTCTTAGAATTGTATCTAATAATTAATTTGTTTTTAGGAATGTGTAGACGATCCACCAAAGGCTTTACAACAGCTAAAACACCCTATTGTTGAAGCTTTTCAAAAAATTAGCTCATATGCAGGTATGTTTATCAGCATAATTTATTGTTGTTTATGTTATTATTATCGATACTTTATTTTTATATTTCAGAAGGTGGTCATCATTTTCGTAAAATAACTATGGCATTACTTTACTTTATCTGTAAAGATTACCGTCCATTTTCTGTAGTAGAAGGAAAAGGATTTAGACGGTTCATTAAAGAATTGTCATACAAAATTCCCTCTGTTAACACTATAAAAATGCCCTTGATAATATATATGAGTTTATTATAGCTGCATTAAAATTTCGTTTGTCAAATTCACCTCATGTATCTCTGACATTCGATACATTCGATAGCAGATTTAAGAAAGTTGTCAAAGTTGGACACCATTTCTTCTAGTGAGTCAGAAGGAGAACATTCTAAAACAGACAACTTCGATTTTTGGGCACATCATAAATATTTGGTTCATGGCCAAAAAAAGAAAAAGACCACAACTTTTATGAACGATGAGTTATCGTTATACTTATCAAATCCAGTATCAACCCTGAAGTCTGATCCTCTTGAAATATGGGAGGATATGAAACACGTATTTCCTATTTTGTATAAACAAGCGCGTTTGCATTTTACCATGGTTGCAACATGTGTTCCTTGCAAACGACTTTTCAAAGGCTGGAGCAACATTAACCAAATCTAGGAATCGTTTAACTAGTTCTCGCCTTCAAAAAATATTATTTTTAGCTGATATCCCAGAGGAAGATTGGTTTTAGTTATATTTTTTATATTAGTATTTTTTTATGTACCTATGTGAAGACTGGCTAATAATGACCAATTATAAATTATAATATTATTAGTATTTTGTATAAATTAATGTATAATAAATAATAAAAAACAATTCGTATTTAAAATTGATTACGTATATTTAGGCTTTTAAATATAATTGCAAATATTTGGTTTTTGCTAGTGGATAGAAATATAAATAACAGAGTAATGACTATATTCATTGCCCATTGGTACTAATTATACAAATATTTTTAACATTCATTAGTATCGATATCAGTTGGAATCGAATTCTAAAATTACAATATTTCATAATTCCATACAGTATAATTTGATACTGTGAAATATAGGTTTATAAAATGATTCGATATTTACTGATATCGATACATTTGTTTCGATTTTTACTGATATCAATATTTGTATTATCAAATGATATCAAAATTTCTGAAATATAACAGCAAACACATTAGGTGATTTCACATGGAATGACCCTATTTTTAATATTAAAATATTTAATTATAATTAGTATATTACTTTTTAATAACAATAATTTATTACTAAAACATACATTTATAATTTTTTAATTTAAATAATCACTTGATGTGAATTTAGTTTAAATAATTCGCCAAAATTTCAAACAATCGTAGAACAAAAACGTTCATCGAACAATGCCTAGGAGGCCGTATACCTAATAAAACAATAGAATTTGTTTAACGAATGTATACGTTCGTCGAACAGGCGATTTAAAACAGGCCCACTGGTCCTATTCCGATGATGATCCTTGGACGTCCGGTTACGTTCGACCATAGAATTTCGGTTTGCATCAGAATAAAATAAATTCAAATAAGCTATCACTGTGGAACTAGCATTGGTTTACTCATATTAAACAGTACTTCAATTTCATTCTTAAGTTTATGAATTTTTGAATTTTTTTTTACATCGAAATTTTGATTTAAGTTTATAAATTTTGCAGTATTTTAATAGCAAAATTTGAAGATTAAAAAATTTTTAATAACATTTTTTTTCTTTTTAGAAACTTTTAGTTAAGTTCCTTTACCCCATATCATATTTGAATCAACTTATAAAAAGTTTGTATAGTTTTACGGTCTTGAACACGCATGTTTGTTGAAAATAACCAACTTTATCATCTCATTACACAAAAGTGACTAAACGAATTTTATTCAAATTTACATAGTATTTACCTTTAGGCAATTAAAATGTCTGATGAAAATTTGATGATGGAGAAATAATTTTAACGCCACTTATAGAACTTACAAAATTTACAATTTGCGTATTATGGAAAATCCACAAACTATGTAATTTTCAACATTTAAATTTTATTCTTTGCATATGATCTGCACGAAAATAAAATACTCCAACAATATTTTACCACAAATGTAGAAATATAAGTAATCATATCACTATTTATTCATGTTATAAATAATGTATTATGTATTATATGTATATATACATATTAATAGTATGATTTATTAAGTATACTTTCCCCCATTTTTAGCATCGATGCGAAGCGGAGAAGGTATTAATTTTACTATGATGTGTTTTTTTTTTTT